TAGTAAGGAAGGCAGTCCACAGGAGCCAAGCAAGGGGCAGGGCCTTTATTATAGTATAACTCCCTTTCATGTATCTGTGCCTCCATCTCCTGTTACTAATAATGTCACGTATGCCATATGTAGACAGCATAAGGATTACTTTAACATACACAATGCACAGTACCCAGGAAGTACTTCGGAAAGGTAAGCTCTTGGTAATATTCTTCACTCATATATAGCAGGCAACCTTAATATAAATGCATTAGCATATTTACTAATGGTGACATACTTTTAATAAGTTTGCATGTGTTCAGCTGCAAGGAACAGAAAACTCAAGTAACACAATTCTAACCAATGAGTATTTCTTAGTTTATGGGGGTTAAACGGTGCAGCGCTGGGTTTGTTTTGGATGAGGAATGCAAGAGCCTCTCTCTGTGTATTGGTATCCTCTTCAGGCAGCTAGTGAAGGCTATAAAATCCCTAGTGTCCTACTGTGTGTGCCCACAGACAGACCACTGGGCAAGAGCCCAGGAAATGCTTTTGGGAATTCCTATCAACTTTGCCCTGTGTGCTGATGGTTTGCCTCTCTAAAAGAACTACTAGAAACAGAGGTTCTAGTCCCAAAACACCCTTCACAGGCTCTGAGCTCTGATTATCTGTACATCAGGGGTGCAACACAACTAAACTTGGAACACAAATAAATATTATGTAAAGGTGAAGCATAAAGTGGAATATTCCCTCTTTCTCAGGAAAAAAATGACTCGAATTCCTAGTGTGATGTAAATGTGAAATGTTGTTCTCTTTCTTCCTTTCTTTCCTTTCTTTCTTTCTTTTCTTTCTTTCTCTCTTTCTATATGTATATACATTATTTTCTTTAAGTAGTTGTACAAAGGAGTTGCTATTCAACAGAGCAGTATATGAACACAGTGCCTCTTGATCATTATCACCCCTTTTAACATTCTTACCCACCCCTCCTACCCCACCCCAGATTTTGTCTTTCAAAGTAATGGCTGAGTCCCTGCAGGAAGAACACAATAGAGTGCATTAGCAGAATTAGTAGCAATCCTTGAGGACTGCATTGCAAATTACAAATTAGATTTAAATAAGTACAGGGGGAAATAGAAACATATCCTGCAGAAGATAATGGACAATGGAAGAATAAAGGACATAAATGGTACTAAGTTGACCTAAGAAAGCAAAAATCCTAAGAATTGGAGTTAGGACTGAGATCTTAACTTTGGTTAGACATGTTTGTGAAGCCCTGAGTAAAGATGGATGATAGATGACTCCTTAACTAGAACCAAGCTTGGGAACACAATTTATAATGTGTGATTTGTGTGCCTGAAATCAGAGTCTCCATTCAAACCTATCACCAGACTGCCCTAGTGAGCCAGGCTTGCACAGAGGTTTTCAGTTCAATTTTCAAAAAGAAAAGAAAAATAAAGTGAGGAGGAAGAGAAGGAGGAGGAGGAGGGAAGAAGAGGAGGACGGGAACCCCATACCATCTGTGAAGTGACTGGATAAATACATAAAGATGAATGTGATTCCGTAAGTCCTGAATGGATGATGATTGTGTAAGCTCAGCATCACTTTCTAGTTACTCTGGTAACGGATTGATTTTGCTTTCGAGGTAGTTCATGGGGTGCTAGTCACTGGCTAGAGGAAAAAAGCCCTGTGCCTCTGCCATCCGTCCGCCAAGGCAGTGACTACAGTTACTGGTCCAGGAATGAGGCCTGGACTCCACACAATGACCAAGCCAAGCTTTCGTGAAAGTAGATCACATGCCTTGAGTCTGGACTCTCCCAGGCTTGGAACTTTTTTGAAAGCCAAATATTTCAGACCACATTAATTATCCTTTAATTCCAGAAACTGTGCACGAGCTAAAAGGCCAGTCATTGATCAGCCACCATTGCTGCTCTGCCTACTTTAGGTGTGGGTCACTGTCAGAGAAAACCCGGGCAGAATGTCAGAACCAGCTCCGATTGCCTCAACACATGAGTGCTTCTTAGACACATAACATCATCTCATCGGAAACACTGCCCTGGGTAAAAAGATAAATAATACCCAGCCCTTGCCCTACAGGATCTCAGAATGGAGCAAGGGAAATGAGACAGGCACACAAATGGCTGCAATACAAGGAAGATAATGGCGGCTGCCAGATGTTAGGGGAGATTGAGCAGAGCAGACAGAACTCAGCAAACGGGAGCATTCAACTGCCAGCCAAGAAACATTGAGTGAGCAATGGCCAGTATGAAATGAGGATGGGAAAGAAAAACACAAGACCACAACAGGTGAAAAATCACATGGCATTACTTATTACCTCGCTGATGGTTTTGGTCACCGATTTCCTAAAACACAACCTGAACTTTAAAAATAAAAGAAGGATAATAAGTCTTTATTAAAGATTACCTAAGGTACTGGTGTGTGTGTGTGTGTATGTGTGTGTGTGTGTGTGTGTGTGTGTGTGTGTGTTGGTCCTAGGACTTGAACCCGAGTGCTCATGTTTCCTTCCTTGGCTTTTTTACTCAAGGCTAGTGTTCTACTACTTGAGACACACGTCCAGTCCCTACTAAATAATATTCTTTAAAAAAATCATGTTAGTTAAAACCTCAATAAATGAATACATATGTAAGTAAATGGATAAATGAATGAATGTAGTATCTTATGGCTTTTGTCCCCATATATGCCTCTCTGTTGTTTATTTCCTTTTCCCCTTCCAAATTAGCAGCCGCTACCTCAGTAGGATATCTGCTTCTAGACATCCCCCTCTTTTGATCAAACATATTAAAATCACCCAGTCAGAAGTGGGTAATTTAGAATTCAAGTGATAGAGGGAAAACGAAACTGGGAGAGTACCAGGCAGTCCTTCCAGTGACTTCTATCCAGGAGCTCAAATGTTTTACTGAAAGCCCAACCTGTTGGTTTGTCTGTCAGTTGGTGTCTCTCTCCATCTATATTGTTTTTTTCCTCTCTCTCTCTCTCTCTCTTACTTTGAGATTCAAATATCGCCATTAATATGGAACAGCAGGATGAATCAGGGTCAGCAGGAAGAAGGAAGGACCACTGAAGCATAAGGTTGTGCGAGTTTGGACAAAGTTCAGACATCATATCTGAAGATGATGGATATCCACATTGGGTATTAGAGTTGAGTTGGCTATGAATTACAGCATGGTTCTGTGAATGGTGACAGCAACAATCTTGTTCCTACAAAATCAGAGGAGCAGAGAAGATTTCCCAGAGAAACGTAGAGTCCATTGAACCAAGGGGCCCCTTTTTGTGTGATTCCTGGAGAGCTCTGTCGCTATGGCCCAGGTGGTCTGTCCTTTCACCCACTCTGCCCTCAAAGGGCTGAGGATGAGCCTCCATGACTCTGCTGGGGTTCTGTTGGCATCCTTGAACTCAGCACTTTAGCCAGAAGGAACAGTTGCTGGGATTACTGTGCCTATGATAGTATAGGAAGATGGTTTCATATATA